ATTATTTATTTTTGTAGATTTTCACCAATGAGCTTTTCTGTTACAGTCCTCAAAGCACGCTCTTTCTATCAAAGAAAACATTCTAAGAGACTAACAGTAAACCAACTCAAAAGAAGACAGTGAATGTCAGCGGTCAACTTTAGGGGGCGCGCTGATATTGGACTTGTTTCTCTAACGGAAATAGGAATACGCTGTACAGTCCTTATTTCCGGTTGCAGTTCCGGCCCACGAGACACGAGTGTTAGCCGTTTGGGCTTCCAGCGGGCGTTAAAGTCCAAAAACTGGGCACGGTGGCTACATGTGATTGATTAAAATGGTGGGTTTTTGAAAACAATTGTCGGTTGTATTTTGTTTGAAATGCTAGTCGTTCGGTCGAGACCGTTAGTGCAATTTACGCTAGCATATGTGTCTCGGCAGCTAACGTTAGCTTTTGTCAGAAGTTAAAACGATTCGTAATTCGTTTTTCGTCCTAAAGAGCATAGAGTTGTCTTGGTAAATAAAATATTAATTATAATTACGTTTAACTACTAAATATCTACTAACTATTTTTTGTTATACTATTGTTATCCTAAATTAAATTGGTATGATGTGTATGTATAGTAAAGTATACCACATTATACCTATGATATGTATATATATATATATATAAGCATAACTAGTATAATATTAAGGATGTTATGTGAACAAGTATATGGAATAAATATATGAAATATATGCACGGTGTAAATAGTTGAGTAGCAAAATAATGAAACTAAATAAACAGTTATAAAGGCAGTTCCTACAGACATTAGTGTATGAGTGTTTAAATGTATTTTGGATAATTTCCTGTCAAGTGTTTTATGTTTGGTGTTTAATTTTTGCTTTATGTTCTTTCTTTAATGTCTCCCATTAGAACACATAGAAGTCCTGAAGAAAGCTGAGGAGACTTCTATGATTCACATCAACTACATCCAGACCTCACCATGTTCAGCAGTGCTTCAAAGGACAACACTGCCAAGGTGAGTACTCATATGGAAATGATTGATGAGATAACAGTTGTTGAATAATGCTCAGAGAAGAGCTTTCTCTTTAACCTTAAAAATGAAACCTGAGTTTTTAGTTTTTGAAGGCGAGTGCTTTATGACGGTTTTCAGCCATCCAGGTCATGGTTGAAGAGTTCTGTTAGGCAACTGGACATTACCTTTTTTTCCAAGAAGTTTCACCTCTCATCTAAGAGGCTTCTTCAGTTCTAACTGGTGGAGGGGAGTACAGTAGATATATACTGTGGGTATGGCAAAAAATAAAGCTACTTCAGGTCCCTCCTGTCGGGTGGACTGTTGGGGTCAACTGGGGAAGTGTTGTTAGAAGTTGTTAGGAGTCCGATTGGTCGTTGTATTATATACATGTATTCATGTCCAGTTGCCGAACGGAAGTCTTCAACAAAGAAAAGAGTTATTTTCCTTATAACACTTGGATTTGTGATTGTTTATATATGTATGGAATTGTGAGCTGACCAGTCATTTGTCCTTGAGACCCACCCTCCAAAGTACAACAAAAGAAATGTATATTTATTGATAGATTGTTATACAAGTATGTGTAAACTGAAACAGTAAACATTGACAATTTGCTGGGGTTATAAGAAGATACCCAGTAGTAGGTGTGTTGGTCAGTCTGCCCATACTACAGACCTTGTAATGTGAATTATGTACTTGTAGTGAAATAGACTTTAGAATATTTGAAGTACATCTCAGGAGAAATGAGTGGTACAGTTTGAAATGAACTGTCTGTTATGGTTTTGTGTTACGTTTGAATGTTGACAGATTGCTCTTTAGAGGTTGCTATGGCTTCAGTTGTCCACCAGATGTCACTGTCACTGAAGCTTTGAATCTTTTTCGGCACAATTGTTAGGAAAGCCTCAGTGCTTCACTTGCCCACCACTACTTTAAGGAAAACCTGTTTGTTTGTGTTAACATGTGGCATGATGACGTGTTCTTACAATCTGCAGGTTCTTCCACGCTGTGTACGAGGAGGGGTTTGGCAGGAGTCAAAGGTCATTTTGGTTCCGTCAATTGTGTGGCTTTCCACCCTGACGGCAAGAGGTAAATGAGACCAACACAGCTTTTGATTGTTCCAGAAATAGTTACATCGAGGGTGACTGGATAAAGGAGGGTTTTCTCTTTCTTACCACGGCTTCTCTCGTGTAGCGCACGTG